CTACATATATATAAAAAAATCACTTGAGCGTTTTCATGCAACCACAGTGGGTTTTGAAATGGAACATGTTTTCAAACTGAAATGTTTTCCTTAGTTTAAAAAAAAAAAAAAAAAATCAAAATTACAACCCTGGCAGTGTCCAAGGCCAGGCTGGACAGGGCTTGGAGCAACCTGGACTTGTGGAAGGTGTCCCTGCCCATGGCAGGGGATGGAATGAGATGATCTTTAAGGTCCCTTTCAACCCAAACCGTTCTGGGATTCTGGGATTCTCTATTTGGTTGATGCAATTTACTGCAAGGGACTTGAGTGTCCAGACCAGAAAGTGCCCCTCTCCTCTCCCACCCATGCCCATGAAACCATGCCATCAAGTGCCACGTCTGCTGGTTTTTTGAGCAATTCCAGGGGTGGTGACTCCACCACTGCCCTGGGCAGCTGTGCCAATGCCTGACCACCCTTCCCCATGAAGAAGTTTTTCCTAATATCTGATCTAAACCTTCCCTGGAGGCCATTTCCTTCTATCCCTTGCTCCCTGGGACTCCCCCCAGCTCCCCCCTCCTGTCAGGGAGTTGCAGAGCCAGAAGGTCCCCCCTGAGCCTCCTTTTCTCCAGGTTGAGCCCCCTCAGCTCCCTCAGCTGCTCCAGACCCTTCCCCAGCCCCATTTCCCTTCTCTGGACACGTCCTACCACCACATTTCATCCAAACCAAACCTCTGCCCCAGCTCAGCACTGCCCAGAGGTAAAGGACAGGAGATGTCATTAAAAAACCCACAGTGAATCTCAGCCTGGGGAAAGTGAGTGTTGGACAACACAGATCAGAGGCATCTTACCTGCTGCCACTGGGCACTTTCCATCCCAGAAGTGTTCCATGAGTGGTTTGGGTGTGACCACATGGGTAAAACGGGGGATGTGCCGTTTTGGAGCCACCGAAAATTAGAAGCATCTTTATAAACTCTGCCTTCTCTTCTTTGCAGATACGACATTTGCATCTACAAGAACAAACCCTGTGGCACCCTGGGTAGGTAGGATTTTGCCAGCACTTCTCAGCAGCACAGAGAACTTTATGGGGGTGGTGAGGAGGATGCTGTGCCACCCTCTTTTTTAGGGGACAGGCTGAGGGGCAGCACTTGCCCAACAGCACCACGAGGACCAGCAGCAGAGCCAGGAACAGCCCAGTGGTTTCCGGCCTCCTCACTTCTGTAAACACTAGAAACAGCAACCCAGAGGACAGATGGGCTCTGGAACACTTCTCTGTTATATCCCTGGGTCAGGTCCAGCCTGATGATTAAGAACCACTCGCATCTAGGGCTGGTCCATGGCCTAGTGGAGTGTTCCTGGCTTAGCAGAGAGAAATAAGCCTTTTTTTGTGATGACTATAAAGGGAGTTCTTTATTGAAACGGTGAGACACAGACAGACCCTGCAGCTTTCTCTGGCTGCAGCTCCTAATTTGTCTTGCCTTGGTCTAGACTGAGCAGTCAGGGAGGGATTTACTGCTCTGAATCACTGCAGTGAGAAGGGAAAAGCTGGTGGATCTCTGACCTGATGAGACTGCAGATGAGGAGCCTGGGAGGGAGGTGAGGCTGGAGGTGCTGTGATGGCTCAGTTCATCCCAGGAACAGAGTCAGACCCTTCCCTGACGATCCAACCCTCGAGGCTGGATTCCTGGTCGTGGTGGATTCCAGAACCATGGCTGGATCTTGTCTTACTCTGCCCAGGCTGCCCTGCCCGAGTTTGGATTCCCAAGTGCCGGTGCAGCCATTCCCAGGTTCCCCCCCACCAGTGTTTAGACAGGGACTGCTCCCCCCCCTCTGCACAGTTTGGGGTTTGGATACGAAACTCCGAGGATTTTGACCCATTCTCAGCATTTCTGAGCCTGTCAGTGCTAATTCAGCTGACAGTGCTGAGCCACCACAGCCCGTAAGAGCCACGAGTCCCTCCCAGAGCGCAGCGGGAAGGAACTGGTCAGTGCCAGCAGGCTGTGCTGGGTGTTAAGGAGCGTGCAGCGCATCAGTCAGCCCCAGATGACTGATGCTGATGCCAGCAGATGCTCTGTGTGACAGCCCTGCCTGCCTTCCCCAGGCCTGGCCCCCGTGGGCGGGATGTGCGAGCGGGAGAGAAGCTGCAGCATCAACGAGGACATCGGCCTGGCCACGGCCTTCACCATCGCCCACGAGATCGGCCACACGTGAGTACTGGGCCGGCACGGGCCCCTGGCAGCAGCTGGCACGGGGTGTTTTTTCCCCGCCAAGAGGAGCTGGAAACCCTCCCTTGTGGGTGAGCAGGACGCGTGGCAAAGGCGGCAGCTCATCCGTCGCCCTCTCTCCGCCTCGGCGGTGCCCTCCAGGTTCGGCATGAACCACGATGGGGTTGGCAACAGCTGCGGCTCCCGGGGGCAGGAGACGGCCAAGCTGATGGCTGCCCACATCACCATGAAGACCAACCCGTTCGTGTGGTCCACGTGCAGCAGGGATTACATCACCAGCTTCCTGGAGTAAGGAACCCACCTCACCCCGCCCTTCCTCCCACCTCGCGGCCGCCACGCGCCTCCAACCTCCCACAGTCGCCTGGGGAGGGGGTAAAGCCCAAGGAAAGCCCCCAAAGCACCCAGCCCTTCTGTTTTGTCTCCCAGCACCTCATCCTACCCCAAGAGGCACGTGCTTTCCTTCCTTCCTTCAGACTTTCCCGTCGTTTTTCTTGCCTGCCAAAGCTCTGGCCGCTGTTGGTGACCTTTATTTAGGCTCCCCCACACCCGCAGATGGATCAGTGGCTTCTGGAGGCGTTTGGATGGTTCTGAAGTTCAGCCAGGGACTGCAGGGAAGGGTTGGTGTGGTGGGGAAGGAGGGTCTGGAGTCAGGGCTGGGTCTGCATGGTGTGGGCACCAACTCCAGGCACTGAGTTTCCAGTGGGAATGAGCAAAGTAGGAGAAAAGTTTGGTGTTTGTTTTTTTTTTTTAGCAAAGCAACCTCAGGATTCAGGAGAAGGGAGGGACAGGACAAGGGAGAATGGATTCAAATAAAAGAGAGTAGATTTAGATCAGATATTAGGAGGAAGTTCTTCCCTGTGAGGGTAGTGGGGCGCTGGCACAGGTTGCCCAGAGAAACAGTGGCAGTGTCCCAGGCCAGGTTGGACAGGGCTTGGAGCAATCTGGGATGGTGGAAGGTGTCCCTGCCAAGTCTTAAGATCCCTCCCAACCCAAACCTTACTATGATTCTGTGATTTAGGCTCCTAGGTCCCAAATTTCAATACTGTCACCGTGCCTAAGTCACATTTCTGCAGCCTGAAAGGGCTTCTCATCCAGGGTTCAAGCAGCTCCCAGGCTTCTGTCACAAAAAAACCAGTCAGGATCAACCTGGGGGAGGATTTTGGTAGGATACAGGCACTGTGTAATAAAAGGACTGGATAGGATTGGAGTGATGGCTGGAAGAAGCACGTGTGTGTGGGGTCAGTGTGGAGGGAAGCCCCCAGGGAGTCCAAATACCAGACTTCAGCCAGTGATGCTGCAGTTGGAACACAGGGAGAGGAGCAATAAATTCTCCTCTCAAGGGGCTTCGCCTGCCCCACTGTCCTGCACAGCTTGGCCGAGCCCCGTGGCTCATCCCCAAATCCCCCATCTGGCAGCTGAGGTTTGGCCACAGCAAGACCTGTCCCCCCTCAGTGACCCCTGGACAGCCTGGGAAAGGCTGCCCTGTCTTCTGGTGACCCCAGGCCTCGGCAGGCCTGCAGGAGGACAAGGAGTTCGTGTCGGGTCCCTCTGAGGGCTGTGCTGGCCACCCCAGGGAGCCTCCACCAGGACATAGTGTGGGCAAGACCCCAGGGTTTGGGGCTGGGGGTGGTGACAGGGGCACTGATTAAGAGAGAGCTCAGAGAACAGCCAGGAAGGGGGAGGGAAAGGAGTGCTCCTTGCAAAATTTGGTTGCTGGGGCTGGTGATACCCTGCAGAGCAGCTGGAGCTGTGCCAGGGGGGTTGGGATGGATCTCAGGGAAAGGTTCTTCCCCCAGAGGGTGGTGGGCACTGCCCAGGCTCCCCAGGGCAGTGGGCACGGCCCCAAGGCTGCCAGAGCTCCAGGAGTGTTTGGACAATGCTCTGAGGCACAGGGGGGGATTGTTGGGGTGTCCTGGGCAGGGCCAGGGTTTGGGCTGGAGGATCCCTGTGGGTCCTTTCCAGCTCAGGGTATTCTGTGATTCTATGAACCCTCAGATGAACACTTCCAGAGTTCCCTAGGAACCAGCGTGTTTCCAGCTCTGATTCTCCCCTCTCCTTTCCAGCTCTGGGATGGGACTGTGCCTGAACAACGCTCCTCCCAAGCAGGACTTTGTCTACCCCACCGTGGCTCCGGGCCAGGCCTACGATGCAGACGAGCAGTGCCGCTTCCAGTACGGAGTTAAATCTCGCCAGTGTAAATACGGGGTAGAGAGCCTTCCTGCTTTACTATCGGTTCCCAGGGGGTGGAGGATGGGGGGGACAAGGACAAAGGGATGTGGGGCTGTCCCTCTGCAGCCCCATCACTTCGCTGTCCTGCTCCAAACAAAGAGCCACCGGCGTGTTCTCCGTCAGCTCTTGACTTGCTTCCCTCTGAGAGGACCAAGGTGGTTTCTTATCCACAGAGGTTGAGCCCAGCTCCATTTTGGTCAGGTTAATCCCATGGGAAGAGGTGTCTTGCCTCTGCCTGGTGCCTTGGCTGCTGTGTTCTCCTCATCCAGGCTCTTTGCACACAGACATGTTTTCCATAGTCCTTGCTGGAAGTTGCTGTGCTGTTCAGTGTGCTCCTGCAAACTTAGCAGGAGAACCACCTTTCCTCCAGGTGAGGTGGAGCAATGTGCTGTAGGTACATTTTTAGGTGCAGTTGTAGGTACAGCTGCCCAGCTAAGCCTCCCCTGCCATCCCCTGGTCTTTGCACTCAGAAAACCACTGAAAGGAAAGGATGTTCCAGGAGAAAGGAGTCCTCCTGGATCTCAGCCTCACATTTTGTTGTTGTTAACCTGCTGAAGGCTGGCAGCTGTCTGAGCAGAGTGATGAGGGGAAGTGTCTATGCTGAAGAGCTGATTGAGCTCCTTGACACATCCACGTTCCTCTAGAGAGCGCAGTAGGATGCACAGGCAGCAGAGTTGTCTAATATTTTTTTCATGGAAAGGGTTATTAGGCATTGGAAGGGGCTGCTCAGGGAGGTGGTGGAGTCACCATCCTTGGAGGAGTTCAAGGACGTGGCACTCAGTGCTCTGGTCTAGGCAAGGTGGTGATCAGTCACAGGTTAAACTCAATGACCTTGAAGGTCTTTTCCTTGGAGGTCTTTTCCAACCTTAATGTTTCCATGATTCCATGTGCACTCACCCCAGCCCAAACCCTGGAAGGCTGTGAAGGAGGAAATTTCTCAGTGCAGGGTTTAACTTCTCTTAAAATCCTGTAAGCACAAGCCCAGCCCTGCCACTGAGGTGAGCCAGGTCACCACTTTGAACGTTCATGTATTCATGGTTAAACACTAAACTCACCTCCTGGTGGTCTCACCAGCTCATCCTGGTGAGCAAAGGGCAAAGTTTGGCTCTCCCAGGCCCAAAGCCTGCTGGATGTGGGGCAGATGCAGCAGAAAAAGCCTGGGTCCAAATACCATGGTTGTGGTATCTGATGTCAGGTGGTGCCAGCTGGGGCCTGTGCCCCTCCTGAGCTGAGCCAGAGGCAGGGAGTGGAAGCTTCCCAAGTTTACATGCCTGTTTCCCAGCTGATTTTTAACTGGGGTGGACACTTCCTGTGCATACACAAGGATCACAAAAGCACAAGATGTCCTTGTGATGACCCAGCCTGTCGTGAGTGTGGCTTGGGATGAACCCAAAGGGCACAAAGGGCTCGGGTAAATCGGGGTAAATGTGTGAGTCCACCCATGCTGTGCCCACATAAACAATCTCCAGAGGGATGGCAACATCCCTTCCTGCTCCATGCCAGAGAGAGTGGATGATTAATGGGAATAATGAGGACAGAGAGAGCAGATGTCACTGATTCAAGGCTGGATTGGATGAGGCACTGAGCACCCTGGGCTAGTGGAAGGTGCCCCTGCCACTGCAGGGGGTTGGAACTGGATGATCTTTAAGGTCACTTCCAACCCAAACCATCTGTGACTGAAGCTGGAAAGTCACCAGCAAGCTCTTGGTGACAGAGAGAAGGGTCACCCTGGGGCACTCTGCTATTCCTGACCTGAAATCCTGTGTCCAGTTCTGGGCCCTTCAGGACAAGAAAGACTTGGAGGGGCTGGAGGTGTCCAGGGAAGGGAACAGAGCTGGGGAAGGGCCTGGAGCATCAGGAGCAGCTGAGGGAGCTGGGGGGGCTCAGCCTGGAGAAAAGGAGGCTCAGGGGGGACCTTCTGGCTCTGCAACTCCCTGACAGGAGGGGGGAGCTGGGGGGGTTCAGGCTCTGCTCCCAGGGAACAGGGACAGGAGAAAAGGGAACAGCCTCCAGCTGTGCCAGATGAGGTTCAGATTGGAGATTAGGGAATATTTCCCCATGGGAAGGGTTGTAAAGCACTGGCACAGCTGCCCAGGGCAGTGGTGGAGTCACCATCCCTGGGAATGTTTGAACATCCTGTGGATGTGGCACTGGGGGGACATGGGTAAGTGGTGACCATGGCAGTGCTGAGGGAACGGTTGAACTTAGTGATCTGAGAGTTGTTTCCAGCCTTACTGATTCCATGATTCTATGACAGTGCTGGGAGTGCATTACCAGCAGCTGTAGCAATTCAAGTTCTGCTCTCACACCTCCAGAGTTTCCTCCATTGCCATTGTGAACCTGCTCAATGCTTTCATGTATAACCTCAGTCATGCCCCAAGTCATGTCAAGCTGCTCCCTGCAAAGCAGCAAGTTTTCCATCGGTCATTTCATTAGGAATACGGCCAGGCAGAAAACTCAGCTGTGGATTTTAGGTGTCTCCTCTGGGGAGGGCGTCAGGATGGTGGGATTAGCTCAGACCTCACTGAGGTGTCCAAGGTGCCCTCTGTGCCGCACGGGGCGGGTATGGGCTGGTTGGAGAGTTGGCTCTGGCACCTCAGTGAACCTCCACATGCAGAGAATCCCAGCCCTGGGAGAAGTGTTTAAGATTAGTCCAGAGAAGGGGGTGAGCAGTCAGTGCCCCTGGGGCAGGATTTGGTCTCATTTTGCCCCCACCAAGCTGAAAACACTCGTGCCCTGTGTCCCGGCCTGGCTGGTGCCTCCCAAGCACACTGAGGTGCTGCTGCCCCAGCCTTGCAGCCCCTGGCACAAGCAAATCCTAATCTTGATTTTGTTTCTTTGTCTCTTCCCTCCCTCCCTCCCTCCCCCTCTCTCTCCCCCAAAATCTTCCCTCTTTCCAGGAAGTCTGCAGCGAGTTATGGTGCCTGAGTAAAAGCAACCGCTGCATCACCAACAGCATCCCTGCTGCCGAGGGGACCATCTGCCAAACCAACACCATTGAGAAGGGGGTAAGGCAGCCCAGGGCACTGCAGAGAGTTGACAGTGAGTGGTCGAACCCCTCTCCCAGCAGCAACTGGGATTATTGTTTGCACTGGGGAGTGAGGAGTTGATTTAAGAGCAGCCACCGGCCTGTCCGACCCCGTCTCTCCCAGTCTGGAGCCATCCCCGCCCTCCCCGCTGGCGTGGAGGGAGTCTGGGATGGGCCAAGGAGCCCAGGGGCCCTTAATCATCCCAAGGGACAGTTCAGCTTGTGTAGGGCTGGAATATGGAACATGTGTCATGCTGGAATATGGAATATGTGCAATGCTGGAATATGGAATATGAAATCCCTGCCCCAGCAGCCTCTTGGTCTCACTTGAAGCACAGTAAAGTGATCCTCAAACCACACCATATTCCTTAGATGAACATCTTGTCCTCAGGTCTGCTGGGATCTCCTGGCAGCCCTGAGAAAAAAGGGATTTATTCCCCAGTTTTCCCAGGAGGCACAATGGATTTGTAACATGTTTTCAGAGGAACTTGTGAAAAACTGGCTAAATATGATGAAACCTTTGTTTTTCACACTCAGCTGAGAGAGAAGGGCGGGATTTTTCCTGACCATATATTTTTTGAACGTGAATTTTGACTTGATGGCTCACAGAACTTCATTCCCTGCTCCTCCTACACCCATTTGCACCAGTATAAAGCAAATGGGTAGCACTGCTAAGACAAAGAGCCTTTACAAAGTGAATAATGGTTGGGACAATGGAGATTCAGGGCTGGGACATTCCCCATTCAATGGACATGTGTTTTTCCACTAGAGAAAAAATAATTCCCTAGGAATTTTCAAATCCTTAAGAAGCTGGAGGAGCTGATGTGCAGGAACAAGGATGGCTTTGACAAATTCATTCTTCTTTGCAAACATTTCTGTGGAAATTAGGTCAGAGAGGAGCAGACAGCTCCTGGGGCTGGACACCCCTCCTGCTGCACACTCACCAGAGACAATGGCATTCTTTTCCCTCCTAGTCATCTCTTTTTACCAGCTTTTCCCACTTCTAAATCTCTCTTTTTCTCCCCCCCCCACTTACAAGTTGTTTTATAACCAGGCTTCTTCAAAAGCTTTGAGAGAAGTGAAGCAGTCACAGCCCCCCAGAAATCACGGGAGCAATTCCCAGTGAGGATACTGGCTCAGTTGGAACCCCCAGTTCCTTTCCTGGGCTTTTTCTTTTTCCTGTGTACCCGTTCATGTTCTGGAAGTGATTTGATACCCTTGGGTAGAAGGAGATACACTTTGTGTTCAGGTTCTGCACTGCTGGAGCTCCTGGCTGGTGGCCCCCAGGCCTCAGCCCCTTGGCTGGAGCAGCTCTCCAAGGTCTTCCCTGGCTTCTCCCTATCTCCTGGGAAGAGCAGAGGGAAGGATCAGGGTATTTAAGGTATTGGAGGAATGCAAGATTAGAGGAGAGATTGAGTTCCTGTGCTCTCCCACCCAGCTGGGGAAGCAGTGAGGGGGGAAGGCTGAGCCAAGCTCTGCTGGATGGTGGCTGTGCCCACATCCCAGTCCTCTGTTGTTTCCTCCTCCAAAATTCTCCCTGTTTATTATTATTATTAACTGATCTCCTGTGGTTGTTTGGGTTCACCTTACCCAGAACCCACAGAGAGTGACTTGAGGTCTGGCTCCTGCTGCCCTCAAGGTGCCCCAGGTTCAACATCCTGCTGGTTCCTTCCCTGCCTGGTTTGCTTTCCCTTTGTATTTTTATTTTAATTCCCATTATTCAATCACTTATCACCCAGGTTATGGCCAGTGCACCTGTGAGGATGCTTTCATTTCCATAACCTCCCTCCCTACATGCCCCCCCACTCACATCTGGTCTCTCAGCCTGCACAAGTCCATGTTTTCCACAGGAGAGGGAGCTGGGATCTGCTCCTGGAGCAAGGACAGAGCCCATCACCGACTCACAGAATCACAGACTGTGCTGAGCTCGAAGGGACCCACCACTGATGCTCTCAGTGTGGGTTTGCAGGGGCTGGGGAACTCCTGGGCCCTGCCTGCAGAAGAAGGAGCCTCAGTCCCTCCAGTCTGGAGCAGAGAACTGCTCAGGCTGTGCCTGCAGAGCATCTCCTCCAGCTGGGATCCTCCTCTGGAGAGGTGCTGGTGTGCAGGAGGTCCCTCCTGCACGTCCTGGGAAGGCATTTTTCCCGGCTGGCTGGGCTGCCCGTGGAGATCTTGGCTCAGAGGGAGCCAGGAGAGGCCGTGCCAGCAGCTCCAGGGTGGGTTATCAGCCCCTGGAAGGAGCACACAGCGGTTTCTTCCTTCCTGGGATTATCTCAGCCCCCAAGGCACGGGGTGGGCTCCGTGCCCGGGGAACGGCAGCGGCTCTGGCACCGTCCCACTCCTCTGGCACCGTCCCACTCCTCCCATCACTGGGGACTCCAGGGGGTGTGGGATGATTTCCAGGGCCGAGGGAAATGCTTCACAGGCAAGTTTCCATGAGCATCTGTCTCCCAGCAGGACAGGGACAGGCGGGTTCTTTAAGGATCCTCAGCAACAACGTTCTTACTGCAACTGAAACTTTCTTTTAACCTGGGCCCTTTGCAGGTCAGGTCGTTTTAGCACATTAACCACAGCCTGAGAGCCCAGTGCACACAAAGCTCACTCTGTCCTGGGAGGGAGCAGCTGGAAGTGGAGGTGTCCATGTCCCCCAGGGATCTTGGCTCTGCCCAGCAGCAGCAATTCCAGTCCAATTCCCACCTGGGAATGCACAGAGCTGGTGACAGTGTGACTTGGAGGAGAGGGTGCCCAGAGAGAGGCGAGTGCCCTGTGCCATGGAGAGCCCAGCTGGGCAGAGCATGGTGCTAAATAACTCCAAGGTGGTGGGTTCAGTCCCTGTACAGACCATTCACATGAGAGTTGGGCCTGATGACCCTTCCAGAATATTATAAAATAATAAAACGTTCTAAAATATCATATCCTAAATATTGTATCTTAAAATAACGATATCTAAACTCGTAAGTTCCCGTGATTCTGTGGTTCTGAAACTTGGCTCCAAGGCCTGTGCAGCTCCAAGCCCAGATTTCCCAGGATCAAACCACACCCCAGCCCTGAACTGTCTGCCACGTCCGAGCGAGGTCGGAGAGTACTCTAGGAGGTCAGACCGCGTGCTCAGGGTGTTCAGAGCTTTCTCTCTCTCCGCAGTGGTGCTACAAGAGGGAGTGTGTGCCCTTTGGAACCCGACCTGAGGGCGTGGATGGAGCCTGGGGGTCCTGGTCGTCCTGGGGGGAATGCAGCAGGACGTGCGGCGGTGGCGTGTCCTCGTCCGTGCGCCACTGCGACAGCCCACGGTACGTGGGGGGGGTCCTGAGGGTGTCAGCCTGGCCCTGCCATGTCCAGCACTGCTCAGTCCCATGGAGAAGTGTTGCCTGAAAAAGCAGAGAAATAATTCTCAGGACTGTTTTTGAGTACTGAAAGGCAAAAAACCACTTCTTTACTGCAAGAATATTTTGCCCACGCCGATGGCAGAGGCTTTTTGCAACTTTGTATTATCATCTAATTACAATATTCAGCTTCTAATTACAATATTCAGGTTCTAATTACAATATTCTGTTCCCAAGCACAATATTTGGGCATCACCTCATCTGCTACACCCACTTCCAAAACCACCCCTCCCATAGCACCGCCCTCACCACGCCCCTGACACACCTCTCAAATTTGAGTCAGTGGTCCTAAAAAGACCACCCCTTCATCTTCTTGTCTTCCTCGTCTCCTCTGACCCTTTTGGAATGGTTTCAAGGCCCCTGAGTAGCTTTGACTGCTTATATCAAGTGTTAGGTCTCCCTCTCAGCGCAGTTTTACAGGTAGAAAACTTCACCTTGTTAAAATCCCTTGTGCCTTGAAATTAGGAACAAGGAATGTTAAACAGCACTTTTAGAAATCTTGTCCAAAGCTAAAGGTACCAACAAGCTACACTAAAACCTTATACAATACAGATTTTAAGGTATCAGAAGGCACAGCCAGGTGCCTGTGCAGGTCTCTGCTCAGCTCCCAGAGGGTTTTGGCTCCTGATTCCCCAGCAGCTCAGTGCTTTGTGCTGCTGTTGGATCTGCAGCCACAGACCCAAAAACACTCATGCAACCCCACTGGGAGCATCCAGCCCAGCGTGGGAGCCCTGCTGGGGGCTGCTCCTCCTCCCAGCCCATCCATGAGGGATCAGCAGGGTTGGGAAGAGCCAGTGGTGCTCCTGCAGCCTCAGGGCAACAAATATACAACTCCCTGCCCCGAGCTGGTTCCACCATCTCATTCCTGGTTTTGGCAGGCCCACGATCGGAGGAAAGTACTGCCTGGGAGAGAGGAAGAGGTACCGCTCCTGCAACACCGATGTGAGTAGTGCCGGGCTGGCAGGGCTGTGCCCCAGCCAGGATTTGGGATGAGCCCTTCCCACACCGTGCAGGGGGTTGTGGGAAGCTGTAGGAAAAGAGGAAGAGGCGAGGGAGGAGAGATCAGAGGGTTCCAGCTCTGACATGGCAGGGATGCCTCTCCCACACTCCACGGAGTGCCGGTAGGACTCTGCTTCCCAGGGCTCAGGGTTAAACCTGGAGGGAAGAAGAGGAAGGATTGTGCTGTAGGGGTGCTCAGTGAAGCTTTGGACCTGGGGAATGGTAGCTTTAACTTCCACGGGCTGGTGGGGAGGAAAATAGAGGGTCCCATTGCTTCCCTGGGCTTCCAAGTGACACATCTCAGACGGGGCACCTGAATGTTGTTGGTCTTCAAATCATGTCCAGCTTTGCAGGAGGGTTCCTCCTGCCCTCCTGCAGCAGTGCCCGCTGTCAGGGCTGGTGTCCCTCTCCTCCATGGGCTGGTGTCAGTGTGTCAGCAGCCCAGTGAGGCTGCCCCAGCCCTGCCCTGACCCCTGGCTGTGTCTCCAGGACTGCCCACCTGGCTCCCAGGACTTCCGAGAGCTCCAGTGCGCCGAGTTCGACAACGTCCCCTTCCGAGGGAAGTACTACACCTGGAAAACCTACCGTGGGGGTGAGTGCTGGGCTGGTCATCCCACCTGGAAAATCTGCTCTGGGGGTGAGTGCTGGGCTGGGCTGAGCATCCCTTGGCTCAGACAGAGCTGGCTTTTCCCTCCCTCACGCTCTGCAGGGACAGGTCTTGTGGTCCAGGGGGGTCTGATGGACATTTAGTCAGGATTCCCACTAGCAAGATCCTGAAGGCTGCCCTTCTTGTGCTCCTGGGATGTGCTGCCACCCCCTCACGTGGCTATGGATTGATGTGCACCCCTCCAGGCAACTGCTGTCCCCCCATCCTGGGTCCCCTACCCCTGTGCAACGTCCCCTTATCTTCTCTGCCAGAACCAACCCCAGCAGCACCAGAGCTGAGCAGCTTCTTCCCTCAGGTCTTGTTTCCTGACCTACTGAGGGAGCAAAGGGGAGGATGGACAAGGGAAGGGAGTGTTGGTGTCTGATGGGGAGGAAACAGGGCAGGCAGGTAAAGCTTTCAGCTCCTGCACAGGTGGAGGGGATGGGAGCTGGTGGATCCTCCAAAGAGCAGCAATTCCCTCATCCCAAGGTCAGTTCTGTGTCCTGCAGAAGGTCCAGCAAGCAGAGGGGGTGGGAGGAGGCCCCTGTGGCAGAAATCTCTTAATAATGAGAATGAACAGCAAATGTCCTTCATGTAGTTAATGAACTTGAGTGGGGAAATCCTCCCCAGCTGTGTAAATAACACAGCTCCCAGGGGGCTCCTGCAGCTGCAGCAGATGTGCTGAGGCTGCAGGGGATGGATCAATAGAAATGGAATAATTGTGAAGCAGCAAGTCACACAAAGACCCCAGTAGATGCCAAGGTGCAAGACAGCCCTGCAGGCTGGAGCTGCCCTAGCTCAGACCTCTCTATTCCCCAGGCATGGCCCAGTGGTAGAAGTCCAGGGAATGGTTGGTCCAACATCAGCCCTTGAGTTCCAACCTGATTCTGACAAGGATTTTTGCTTTGGCTTTCTAAAAGAGCCCCTTTCTCTCTCTGCTTCAGCTTCCTCTGCTGTAAAATAAGGTGACAAGACCTGTCCCCCTCCCAGGAGTCTGTGAGTGTTGGCACATTCATGCCTTGATGGGATCTGGGAGCTCCCTCCCAGCTCTCCAGAGTGCCTGTGGGGAATGATCATCCCTGGAAGTGTCCAAGGCCAGGTTGGATGGGGCTTGGAGCAACCTGGGCTAATGGAAGGTGTCCCTGCCCGTGGCAGGGGGTTGGACTGGGTGGTCTCTGGAGGTCCCCCCTGACCCAAACCCCTCTCTGATTCTCTGATTTCAGCAGCATCTTCACATGCCAGCGGGATTTTGTGATACTTGGAGTCATCTGGGGGTCAGAGGTACATCTGTGGGGGAGGTCCCTTGCACCTCCACCTTCTCCATATCGTAGACAAGACCTGCAGGGAACAGCCCCCTCTCATCTTCCCCTTGTCACTGATGGTTTGCTGCCAGGCCCTGTGTTTCCCCCTTGCAGCCCCTGTGCCATCAGCCATCCCTGCCCAGCTTTGGGGAGGCACTGAGGGCTGATCATCATCTCCCTCGCTGCCTCTTGGGCTCTTCCAGTGGTGCCCAGAGAGCTCTGGTGTGGTGGGTGTCGCTCCCTCCCTCCCCACTGGCACAAGCAGCTCCCCAGGATCCGCGTTGGCAGCCTCGTCCTTGGGCATTCCACCCTCCAGCTGGCAGCATGTCTGCTCCTCAGGTTATTTTTGGGCACGTGTTCCCTCTCTGGGAGCTGTTCACCACCCAGGTCCTCTGCTGAGCCCCTTCCCCTGCTCAGCTCAGCACCCCTGAGCTTCCCAAAAAGGTGCAGTTGGCTCAGGGGGTTGTTTGTGCCCTTTGCCCACCAGATGCTTGACCCCATAATTATTGGAGAAATACTCTGGGCAAGGAGCACCCCCACCCCAAGGCAAGGAGCCTGAAATGAGGGGGGCACCAATCCTGCAGGGAATTTGGGAAGGGAAAGAGCCACCCAGTGACACCGCCGGGTCACCGGCACCGAGGTCGGTACAGCCTGTTCTCCTGGCGCTGATTCCAAGCGCTCCCAGAGCCCAGAGCCCGGCACCGGGAGACGTTTGGAAGCGCTGAGCTCAGCCTTTCAGAGCCCGGCAGTCAGCAGATCCCTCCTGGAATGCGGCTTTAATTGTTTGTTTATTTTGCTGGGTTCTGCTCGGTTGTTCTTTCTCGGCTCTTGGCGGCTGCGGGAGCCAAGGGAGATGCGGGAGCCGCTCGCGGGGCTGCGAGAGGGATGGGGAGGAGCGGGGCCTTGCAGAAAACAGGAGATTGCTCATCAGAAATTGTAATAAACCTTAATTCCTCCACGGGAGAGGACAGGCAGGAGGAACAAAACACCCTAAGAGGCGGCCAGCTGGAAATATTCTATTTTAATAGCTGTGTTAAAGATTCAAAGGAGTAACCGAGGCTGTGCTGACCTTGGACTACAAACCAGAGTGAGGGGTGGGGGCCAAAGTCTGCAGGATGATGCCTGGCTGAGGGGTTCAGGAGCAGGGAGCTGTAGACCTGAGGGATGGCCTGGAGCTGTGCCAGGGGAGTTGGGATGGATCTCAGGGAAAGGTTCTTCCCCCAGAGGGTGGTGGGCACTGCCCAGGCTCCCCAGGGCAGTGGGCACGGCCCCAAGGCTGCCAGAGCTCCAGGAGCGTTTGGACAACGCTCTGAGGGACAGGGGGGGATTGTTGGGGTGTCCTGGACAGGGCCAGGGGTTGGAGTTGATGATCCATGTGAGTCATTCCTACTCAGGATATTCTCTGATTCTAATTAGTGGCATTGACTGGGCAGTGCCCAGGCTGGGATGTTCCCACCCTAAAAAGTGCAGCTCCCACCAAACCATCCACACGCAGGGAGAAGCTGGATCCTGGTTGCTGATGAACACAGTTCCCATCCCCAGGAATTTCAAGGCATGTTGTGCTGTTTCAAAGGATCTTTCTGGGGTCTGGGCTCACCCTTGCTCAGTGTTGCTGTGGTGGGGACACACAGTTGTCACTGGAGCCACCTGAACGAGGACCAGGTGACCAAACCACCCGAGTACCTCTCGGCCAGCTGAGTGGTGAGGGCACTGCAGCTCCCAGCAGATGCTGGACAGTGGCACCAGTGTCCTTCCCTCTGGTTGGGCTGCCAAGGGCAAATCCTGCCTGGAAATTGTCACCAAGGAGGGGGTGCTGGTCTCTTCCAGCCATCAGGACAACCAACTCAGGTACCAACTCAGGGTCACTCCTCTCTCCCCCTCCTTCCTCTTCCACTCTCCCACTCCCCAGTTTTCTTCCATAAGACTTTTAAAGGCAGAAATCCACCACCTGCCAGCCTTTCCCAAGTGACTGGATGAGGAGAGCCAGCAGAGACCCATCCCACACGGAGCTCCCAGACTCCCAATCCCACCTCTGTTCAAGGACCCCCCACGTCCAGCCCCTGCTCGTGGCTCTCAAAGGCAGGGCAGTGGTGGGTGCTGAGTTCCCCCTGCTCAGCAGCTGCTTCCCAGGCTCCCAGACCTTCTCCAGGGGCTTGCCCAGGCATCCTGCTCCACAACATGCCTCCAAGCTGCTGAATTCCCCCTCTCGTGTCTCCTCCTGCTCCTCCCTCTCCCGGCTTTGCTCTTCCTTCCCCACAGCTGCTCTTGGATGCTCCCAGGCACAGCTGGGCCTCCCTCCCCTCCCCCTGCCCCTTTGATGTGCTGTATCCAGTTGCAAGTTTTGCAGATTTGCTCCCATCCCAGGTGCTTCCCAGCCCTGGCACAGGGCTCAGGACTGTTGCTGGTGCCTGCAGGAGGGAACTGCCACGGCTCAGGCATCTCTGCAAAGGGTTGTGCAGGCTGCTGGGTTTCCTCTGGGTGCTCAGGAAAAGGCAGAAAATGGCACAATCCACACCAGCCTTTGATAAAATCCACTGGCAGGAGGCAGGGAACTGCTCTGCTCTGGTGTCTCCTTCCATAAGTGGTCCCACATCCTTCTCCCAGGCACTATAAGCCAATACTCACCTATCCAGCCTCTGTTCCATACACGATGCTTTGGCAAAGGGTGGTGGGGAACAGATATTTTAGCAGTAACTTGGACATCCTTCCCCTTCATCCTCACGCTGCTGTCATCATCTTTGCTGTGAAGGACTCAGTATCCACCAGCCTTGAACACAAGGAAATGGTTGCTCTGGCCTGGTAATGGTGTAGGAGTTGAAAAACTTGGTTGCTGCAGTCTAGGAGCTGAAAAAAACCTTGGATGAGTCGCTGAAGAGCTGCTGCCTCAGTTTCCCTGTCTGTAAAGTGGGCACAAGGAGCTGTAAAGTGCCAGGAGACCCAGGAGCAACCCAGAAAAGAACCAGAAGTTTGTTTCCTTCCCCATCACATCCACCCCGCGCTTCCCAGGCCGGGCAGGGGGGACGGTGTCTCACGTGGGGTGCTTCTCTGGGTCCCTCTGCTCAGCCAGGAGCACCCTCCTGCCTCTCCACATCTTTCCTCTCTCCTTGGCAGCACCGTTTGACCCCCTGTGCTCCTTCCCCCAGGGGGTGTGAAGGCCTGTTCCCTCAACTGCCTGGCCGAGGGCTTCAACTTCTACACGGAGCGGGCGGCGGCCGTGGTGGACGGGACCCCGTGTCGGCAGGACTCCAACGACATCTGCGTCAACGGGGAGTGCAAGGTGCTGCTGGGGTCGGGGACAGGGGTGGGGAGACAAGGATAGACCCCCCCCTGGGCATGGGAGCACTGCCTGCAGCCTGCCCACAGTGGGATGTGGGAGAGGTGGAGGGTTGGGAGAGCTGGGGGGGTTCATCTGGAGGAGAGGAGGCTCCAGGGAGACCTGAGAGCCCCTTGCAGCGCCTGAAGGGGCTCCAGGAGAGCTGGAGAGGGACTTAGGACAAGGGATGGAGGGACAGGACAAGGGGGAATGGCTTCCCACTACCAAAGGGATATTCCCAATATCCCACCATTAGATGGGATGCTGGGAAGGAATCACCCAGCTCTGAGGGTGGGCAGGTCCTGGCACAGGCTGCCCAGAGAAGCTGTGGCTGCCCCATCCCTGGGAGCATCCAAGGCCAGGTTGGACTTGGAGCAATCTGGGCTAGTGGAAGGTGTCCCTGCCCATGGCAGGGGGGTGGAACAAGATGATCTCTAAGATTTCTTCCAACCCAAACTATTCCATGATTCCCCGATTCCCAGTTCCACTGTGGGGCAGGAGCTCACCCACACTGGGCTTGTGCCTGTCCTGTCTCCAGGCCCTGGGTGTGCACGTGGGCCTCCACACTCACAGCCTGTGTAGCCCCAAGCATTTGATATTCCCCTTGAAATGGGATCTGGAGAGGCCATAAAAGTTTAATTATAAGCAAGCGCTGTGGGAGTGGCTGATGTCCCCCAGCAGGCAGACAGACAGACAGACAGACAGGCTCCCTCTGTCTGTGTCTCTCTCCCTTCCTGTGTTTCTGGGATCTCTTTGTCTCCACGGGGGTGAACACACTGTGAAAGGAAAGGGGCATTGCACCATTGATGCTGGTGATCCCCGTGATCCCCCTCGGACCGTGGCAGTGGGACAGAGCCAGAGGCTCCACAGGGACACATGAGCTGCAGGGACACGGCTTTCCTTGGGCTGCTGGAGCTCCCAATCTCTGCCTTATCTATCCCACAGTCATGGGATTTCTGCCTGCAACCCCCTCAGCCCCGGAGAGAGACCCCAAGGGCTGTCCCTGGGGAGGTGATGCCGCTGAGCACTGTATGGCGCGGCGAGGGGTGTGAGGTGGAGCCCAGGCATGGCCTTCCTGGGACGCTGCAGGTCAGGTGAGGGGAGGAAAAGGTCCCACCAGGATGGCTAATTCCCTGCTGCCCCCTCCCTGCAGCACGTGGGCTGTGACCGTGTCCTGGGCTCAGACTCGAAGGAGGACAAGTGTCGTGTGTGTGGGGGCGACGGCAGCTCCTGCGAGACCATCGAGGGCGTCTTCAACCAGTCCCTGCCAGAGGGAGGTAGGGAGTGAGTGGCCTGGCCAGTGTTACCCACCCTCAAATCCCTTCTCAGCTTCACCCAGGACAGGCAGGGACATCTCCCAGAGAAACACCCCCAAGGGGTAGGACCGGGCTGCCAGCAGGGAGCAAACCCCCCCCCCCCTTGTGCCCTGACCAGGCTGTGCCCCAGTCAGTGCTGGCACCCAAATCCCTGACACGGAGCTCCAAGTCCCTTCTCTCCAGCTCACACTGCTCTGGAGCCAGGCTTGGGAGATGCCTACAGAGGCCCCACCTCCACAGCACCTTCCCATCACTGCAAAGCCAGCCCAGGGCACTGCCCTGGCGCCCAAAATGCTTTTTCCATCATTTACCCAGGGGTTGGGGGTTGGCTCCCCCTCCCACCCAGCCCAGGGCAGGGCTGGCTCTGGGCTCAGAGGCTGAGCATTCCAACTCACCGGCCCTGGGTTGGTTGTCTCACAGGTTATGAGGAGGTGATCCAGATTCCCAAGGGCTCCGTCCACATCGACATCCGGGAGCTGAACCTGTCTATCAACTACCTGGGTGAGATGGGGCTGGGGGTGCTGAAATTCCAGCCTGGCACCTCTTTCTCTGCCATTTCCCTGTGGTTAACGGGGTGTGGGAAAGGTCCAGCAAGGAGAACTTCCCACTGCCACCAGGGATGGGGCCAGTGCTCCCAGGTGGGATTTGGGGGCTGGACAGGGCAGCAGGGTCTGCTGGCAGGGCAGTGTATCCCAGAGTGTCCCCCCTGTCCCTGTGGTGCCGCCTCTGTGCTGTGCTTACCCTCAGCACCATAACCCTGAGCAAACCCCACATCTCACCATTCCTGGCACTGCCTGTGGCTCCTTTGGCGTTGCCCCCTCTCCCTGAACGTTGGGCTGCAGATTAAAAACAGACCTGCTCACGTTTTCCTTGGGCTTGATTTTCAGCCACGCTCTGTCTTGCTTTTACAAGGAGTGTTTTCTTTGCCCTTGTCTTCACTTTCTGCCCTCCCAGCAGTGGAGGGGTGGGCAGGGTGGGCACCCCAAGCTCCCATCACTGCTGCCACCAGGCTCTCCCAGCCCAGGATCTCTCCTGGCACCCCGGATGCAGGGAGCATCCTCATGAGCACGAAGCACCCTCCCTGCCCCGGAGCGCGGTGGCACCGAGGTGGTTGCCAGCAGAGAAAGACACAGAGCCGGTGCCGGAGCGCTGGTGGCAGAGGGCGGAGGGAGAGCGTGGGAATGCGCTGGGGAAGGAGCGAGCGGCCCGATCCCCCTCTAGCGACTCTCCCGGGCAAGCACAGCCCGGCTCGGGGCTCCCACCGCCTCCAGCAGCCCCGGCAGCCGGGACCTCGTCTGCACAGCTGGATTTGAGCCTGGCTTGGTGGCCACAGCTTTCACACTGCCAGGTGTCCCCACACTAAACCCCCCAGCAATGGCTGAGCCCCCCAGGGCACCCCCTTCCCGCAGTGAGGTTGCTGGGCAGGCTGAGATGAGACACTGATTTTCTGTGCCACTCTGACCCACACCCCACCTCTCCCCTCTCTGTAAGACAAGGCTTGTGCTGACCTTCCCCCCTGTCCCTGCAGCGCTGAGAGGGGAGAGTGGCGAGTATTTCATCAACGGGCGGCTCTCCATCGATCCCCCCCGGCGCTTCGACATCGCCGGCACCACATTCCACTACAGGAGATCCCCTGAGGAGCCCGAGTCACTGGAGGCCTTGGGACCCACCAACATCACCCTCTTTGTCATGGTTGGTAACGTGGTTCCTTCGTGCCCCACCTGGTCAGGGCTAAAGAGAACTTACCGTGCCACATGGGAGTTCACAGGATCACAGAATGTCCTGAGTGGGAAGGGACCCACAGGGATCATCAGTCCAACTCCTGGCCCTGCCCAGGACACCCCAACAATCCCCCCCTGTGCCTCAGAGCATTGTCCAAACACTCCTGGAGCTCTGGCAGCCTTGGGGCCGTGCCCACTGCTCTGGGGAGCCTGGGCAGTGCCCACCACCCTCTGGGGGAAGAACCTTTCCCTGAGATCCAACCTAAACCTCCCCTGGCTCAGCTTCAAGCTGGTGAAGCTAATCAGCCCCTGCCCTTGCTCTCTGGAGTAAAGGGACACAGAGATCAGGGGGACACAGAGATCAGGGGTAAATTGGGCTAAATTCTCAGGTCTCCCTCCCTAACCTGCCAGGCTTTGGGATGATTTAATCTTTAAGTGCAGGGGAACTTGTTCCCTGATTGTGTCACCTTCAAAGGTGACTGGTGGCTACCCTGTCAATTCTGGAAAGGACTGGAAAAGGGAAAGGGGGGAAGATTTCATCTGCCCTGCATTTTAGGGAGATTGTGGGGTGATCCAGATGGTCATGCTGGAGTTCAGTGGCACTGATGCCTTGACGGTGCCTTTCTCTGCAGGTCCTGGTGCGGACGGAGCAGCAGGGGATCCGCTACAAGTTCAACGCCCCCATCAGCAGGGACGGCTCCAACCAGTATTCCTGGCACTACACCCCATGGACCAAATGCTCTGTGCTGTGTGCAGGGGGTGAGGTTTGATCCCATTTTGGTTTGGGGGGGGATACATGTCTGCCCTGCTGGGACTCCCCACTGTTGTGTCTGGGCCGTGCAGACAGAGCATGGACAGTGGTGTCTGCTCTGCTCTGCTCTGCTCTGCTCTCGAGGAGCTCTCAGATCTCTCCACATTCCCACCCTGCACTGCCAACACAACCCTGTGGGCAGAGTGCCAGGGCAAACAACCTGGGGGCTACTTGCAGCTGTAACACAGGGGTGGAGGTGGTGGGAAGTGGCATATCATAGAATCATGGGATGGTTTGGGTTGGAAGGGATGTTAAAGCTCATCTTGTTCCACGCCTTGCCATGGGCAGGGTCACCTTCCACTAGTCCAGGTTGCTCCAAGTCCTGTCCTGGAGCTTGGACACTTCCAGGGATGGGTCAAGGATGTATTGGTGGGTCACAACAGCCCCTTTGGCCTCTGATCCACATCTGTGAACAGAAACACCACTGGTACTTCCCTGAATCCCCTGAGCTGGTTCCCATAGGGATTGACACCAAGGTTTGGGTCATTCTTGTGGCTCTGGAGAGCCTGGCTGTGAGGGACTGAGCTGGTGTTCAGAAGAGAAGACCTTAATAATGTTCCCTGACCTGGTCTTGTGTGCTAGACCTCAACCAAGACTTTGTCCCTCCTTGTTCCAACTATTCCCTCCAGTGCTGGCCAGAAAATGTCACAAGGCCAAGGTTAGAACAGGTTTATTTGAGGATGAGATCCTTGGAATGCTTTGATCCTCCATCCTCTGACATGCCCTGGCTGGTGACCTTTGGAATCACAGATTTATCGAATCATTAGGGTTGGAAAGATCCAAGACCACCGATCCCCACCTTGCCAATAGACCAGAGCACTGAGTGCCATGTCCAGTTGTTTGACACCATCATTTCACACCCCCAGTTTTTAGTGGAGATGCCAGAGGAGGCCTTGGTGATGAATAGAAAAGCAGGTTCAGGCTTGAGGTGCGGGGACAAGTGGCTGTTCTGTCACATCCCCCCACGGGAGCAGAGCTGTGGGGCCAGTTCCATGTGATTTCCTCAGCATCCTCCTCTCTTTCCCCCTTTGCCTCTTTTCTCTTGGCAGGCAGCCAGATCCAGTCTGTGGTGTGCAGGAAACTTTCTGATGGCTCGACTGTCTCCAACCATTTCTGCAGCCCTGACACCAAACTGCTGGAGAGGCAGAGGCCGTGCAACACCGAGCCGTGTCCCCCAGCGTGAGTCCCGTGGCAGGGAGCAGGTGGAGGGAGGGAGGGAGGGTGGGAAACTCAGAGTAGAAGAGAGGGTGAAATCCATCCCTGTCTGCCAGTCCTGAGTCAGAGTCCCCCACCACAGCAAAAAAAAAAAAAAAAAAAAAAAAAAAAAATCCTGTTGATCAGGTAATATACAAAATGATCCAATTATTCCAAAATTATTCCAAAGGATCCTTTTCCACCTTCTATCAGTTTTAAACCAGGATGGCACCAACGTGTGTGACACTGGTAGGGTATCCAGGGGTGGCAGGGGTGACACTGCCTGGCTGGAGCAGCTCTGTTGCAGAAGAGGGGCAGTTTTCTCCTCCCAAATACTCAGTGAGTCCCTCCAAAGTCATCTCAGCCCACCTCTGTCTGTCCTTGCCCCTGTCTTGAAGGGAAGGGGAGATGGGGAGGTTCAGACAGAGCTGCCTGGGAGGCTGTGGCCAGAGTGGAACCAAGGGCTGAGTGCATGAGGACAAACCTGGCCCTCTGAGCCCCTCCCAAGCTTTGCTCTTTGTCCTGTCCCCAGGTGGGTGATTGGGAACTGGTCTGAGTGCAGCCGGAGCTGCAACGAGGGCGTCCGCACGCGCAGCGTCTTCTGCAAGCGCAAGATCTCTGCCAGCGAGGAGAAGACCTTGGATGATGCCTCTTGCTCCCACCCACGGCCAAAGATGCTGGAGCCCTGTAACAACCAGACGTGCCCTCCAGAGTGGGTGGCCCTGGACTGGTCAGAG